CACGAGGTGCTGGGGGTTCAAAGGTTGATTAGATCCCAAGCCTGTCCCTCTCCAGCCTGAGGAAAAGGGCAAAGGGAGAAGGAGGAGGAGGAGGAGCAGCAGCAAGTCCCCAAAGGAGGCTGGAGGATTGAAGTGAAAGCTGTGGGTTATTTAGGCCACTCCTTTCCTGCAAATCCTCGGTGTGGAGACGTCCCAGGAGCCTCCTCTCTGCTCACCAGAAGCCACAAGAGACCCTTAAGATGAGCCCTGAGCATCTCAACACCTCCAACAAGATCCAACCCAGAGCTCAGGACTACAAATCCAAGGGGATGACATGCCCAGGTGGATAGAGCCATCAAATCCCAGTGGATTATGTATAGCCAGGGCTGGAACTGCAGGACAGGACATGATCCACGTACCAGGAGTGTCCCAGATCCATATAAAATTCCCCTCAGCTGTCCTTTCTATCCAGCACTGCACCACCTGTGCCGGGCCAAGGTCCATCTGAACTCCCACCAGCCATCCCACTGCTCCCCGTGCCCTCCCACCGGGGTGATGGAATTCCTGGAGGCACTGCTGCGAGAAAGCACCTTGCTCCCAGTGGAATCCCCAGCCAGGCGCTCTGCAGGAGGATTCCCACCAAAGGATTCCCCCCTGGCAGTGCCCAGCAGGCAGGAACAGCCTCTCACCTGTGCCCGGACCAGAGACTCAAAGCTGGGTTTGAAGTAATCGATGCGGCTGCTGTAAAATTTTGGCATTTCCTCCAGGAGCTGCTTGTTTTTGGCTTCAAAGTCCTCCTTCACCGGGCGAAGCTGGGTTTGAAGTAATCGATGCGGCTGCTGTAAAATTTGGGCATTTCCTCCAGGAGCTGCTTGTTTTTGGCTTCAAAGTCCTCCTTCACCGGGCGCAGCTCCTCCCGGGCCTGGCAGAGGAGAGGAGAGGCTGTGAGTCAGACACCTGGGAATACTCTCTCCCTTTGGGAATGCCTTCAAAGAGGCCACCCTGGGACAGAGGAATGCTCTGCTTTGACCTGAGCCTGGTGGGACCCATGGGATCGTCCAATGGAACCTGGTGATCAGCTACTGGGACCTGCTGGGAACCGTGGGACAATCCAACAGAGCCTGGTGGGACCCAAGTGACCATCCAATGGAGTCTGGTGGGATCAAGTGACCAGTTAATGGAATAATAGAACCTGGTGGGACTCAGGTGACCATCCAATGGAGCCTGGTGGAATCAAGTGACCAGTTAATGGAATAATAGAACCTGGTGGGACTCAGGTGACCATCCAGTGGAGCCTGGTGGGATCAAGTGACCAGTTAATGGAGCCTGGTGGGATCAAGTGACTATCCACTGGAGCCTGGTGGGAACCAAGCTCTGACCCTGCAGAGCCACGGGACACCCAGAGAGGCTCTGAGCCAGCTGGTCTTCCCTCCTTTGGAAAAACATGGACAAAAACTATCCCTAAAGCTCAGTCAGGCCGGAGAACATCCCTGGCCATGGCCATGTCCCCTCTCCCTGCAATTCCCAGGACCATCTCCCCAGGATCCTGCCCCCACCACCCCTTTTGCCCGTGACCTTCAGCTCAGCGTGTCCCACTGGCTCCTTCCAACAGAAGCGTGGGGAGAAAGGGAAATGTCTCAGGGATGGTGTGGAAAAGGGCAGGAGGGGGTGGGCTGTGAAATATTAGACTGGTTCAAGTCTGCCACTTAATCCCAGTGCCATTCCAGAGGGAGGGGGGTGCAGGGCATCCGAGCCTGGCCACGGCGCCGGCCCCGCTCCCGGGGACAGGGACAGAATTCCAGAGGGATGGAATGGGCAGAGCTCCGGGCTGGCAGAGCCTCAAATCGCCCCAGCCCCAGAGGCAAATTCATCGTTCCCCACGGACATTGGAACTCCAGGGATGGAGCTCAAGGAGAGCAGAGAACTGGGAGTAAATACCTGATTAAACCTGCAGCTCAGTAATTAAACACCTGGATGAGACGAGGCCATTTCCCATCAAATCTGGGCCTCTTGGATACCCCGGGTTTGGGATTGCTGAAGGCTCCCTCCCACAGGTGTTTAAGCTCATGCAGTGTTTAGTGAAGTTTTATTATTTTTTCTTTTGAGGGGGGGAGTAGAATTAGATCAGAAGTTCATTAAGGGGAAAAAATACATTAAATAACTAAAACCTGCTTAATCACCAGGACAAAAGCATTCCCGTTTTTCCAGCCCCAGCTTTAGTCACCGAGGCTGAGCAAAATAAGCTGCTTACTGTTAAATCAGAGGTGCCTTTTGTTCGGGCTGTTCTTTAACACAAAACTTCATTTTTTTTTGGGGGGGGAAACTCATCAGAAAAACACATTTTCTCTGATGCTGGGAATCAATTGTTCCTCCGAGGACCAGGCCACGTGCTGTCGGAAGCCCACAGATTTGGTGGAGAAACGCCGGGGAAGATTTAATTCCAAAAAAAAAATAAATAAATAAAAAGAGAAACAAACCCAAACCCCTAATCGTGATTCTGCTAAAATTTGGGAGAGAGAGGAGAGGGGGGAAAAAAAAAAAAAAATCTGGCACAACTTCCCGTTAACCAATTACCGGCGATTTTTTCCAAGACGAATTTTCGGAACAGGTGGGAAACATAAAGCTGGGGGAATGCTCTGATCTGTCCCTTTTCCCATCCAGCTGCTCCCTCAGACAGGGAGGTCGGGGGGGGGGAGAACCCCCCCCTGTGCCTCGACCCCGGCTCCTGGGGGGGCTTTGATCCCGTTTTGTGTCGGAAAACATTCCCTTTTATCTGGGTAAAAAGCGGCTCTTCCGCTTTAAAATCCGCATTATCAACCCGGGGATTTTTTTTCCCCACTGGTAAAAGACACCCTTCCAAACTGTTCATATGCTGTGCACGGGTGGCCAGGTGCCAAGGGAAAAGCTCTTCCCCAGGTTTTCCCGGGAATGCCGGGTGAGCCTCTCGGTACCTGGTGCAGCTTGGCCAGGACGGGGCCGGTCCTCTCCTTCTCCTCGTATTTTTCCACCTTGGATTGCAGGCGCTTGTAGTCCTGGAGCGTCTGTTCCCGCCTCTTCACCGCCATGTTCAGGCTGGGGAACACGCTGCTGAACCTGGAAAAGGGATGGGAAAGGCCTTGGGATGGCACATTTTGGATGGATGAAGCGCCCAAGGCACCCTGGGCCAGGTTCCCACCCGAACCATTCCAGGGCTCTGTGATGGCCACACAATATACTTAATTAATGTGGTGTTTTCCCCAATCCCCCTTTGGAAAGGGAATGAGCAGGCAGAGAAGCTGAATAAAAAGTCCATGAAAAAATAAATACGAAATATTAAGTGCAGCCATTTTTTTTTTTTGGTCATTCTTCTCTTTTATTGTTAATTTTTTCTTTTTTCTTTTTTTTTTGTTAATTTGTTTTTTTTGGGGGGGGGGATTTTTTTTTTAATCTTTCGCTTAATTTTTTTTTTTTTTAATTTTTGGGAGGGCAAATTTTTTGTTTGCTACTTTTGCAATTTTGGGGTTGCAAACCCAGCTCTGACCCCTCCTCCCAGAAGGATTAACAGCATCCAACAATCAGCCAGGCCACGGGAAGATTCGTGTCATTAAAATGTGTTACAAATTGAGGCAACAACGAACATCTGACGGGGGAGACGAGAGAGAATAGTTTTGAACGTGACAGAAAAGGGAAAAGCAGGAACTGGAGCTTTGCTCTTGTCTCCCAAATTCCAGTAAATCGAATTATACCAGTGGGAAGCAGGGCTGGGCTGTGGGTTTGTATCAAACGGGTGATGCTCCCTCCGGGGATATTAATTTAATATTCATAATTTACAGGGTGGTTTGGGGGAGTCAAAGCCAGGAATGGGTGGTGGAAAATATATCTGAACAGCCTGGTGATGGATTTTACCTCCAAGAGGGAACAAACAGCTTTTCCACCTCTTTAAATGTTAAAAAAAAAATAAAAATATATATATATATAAATATAAAGTGACTGGGGGGCACATTAGCAAGAAGAAAAGACACAAACATCACTTTATGAGTGTAATTTGCTTTAGATGTGACCTAAATCCAGGGTTCAGCTGAAACCACGGGTGTTCCCAGCCGTTCCATCCCCTATTAAAATCCCATTTTCTGCCGCCGCGCTCGCTCCGGAGGGTGCTGATGTGCTGGACTGGGGGGTGCCCAGGGAAAAACTTATATCCCTGAGCAAAGGGCAAACGCCAGGAGCGAGGGAGAAGTGGGAATATTTGCATTTGTGTGGAGCATCCCTCGCTGAGGGGCTGGAGAGGGACGTGATCCTCCAATCCCGCCCGGTCCCCGCACGTCCCCCCTCCAAGGCTCTCATGCTTGGCACAGAGCAAATATATACAAATATATATTTATCCCGTGATATTCTCCCTCTGACCGATGCTATTGCGACAGACTGGGGCTGTGGCACGAGGAACAACCTGGAAAAGTCATCAGGGAGCTTCTCCAGCTGCCCAGGGCGGATCAGATGCTCTGCCCTGACATTGCTTTTTATGGGCACCGTCCCACACGGCCCCATTATATTTAAATGGGTGACATGTCCTGGATGCACCGGGCTCCAGGCATGGCCTCACCAGCTCCTGGCCCGCTAAAATATCTCCTACCTCTTCATAAAGTCCAAAAATACGCCGGGAGAGGGGTTAGAGGAACAGGGATGGGAGGGAAGGAGGGCGCGGAGGGTGGGAAGGGGTGGTCAGGTTGAGAGGTCTCATAAAAAGATGGTTTGGTTTCATAGAATCATGGAATGGTTTGGGTTTGGATGGTCCTTAAGGACCATCTAGTTCCAATCCCACTGGCAGGGACATGCTCCACTGGACCAGGAGGCTCCAAGCCCAATCCAACCCGGCCTGGAGCACTTCCAGGGCTGTTTTTAAACCATGTTTCCTCAGCGTGGATGTTTTTTGCCAACAGCACAGACATGAGGTCGCAGCTTCTGCAGGGATTTCTCCTAATTATTAACAATGGAAAGGATGGATCCCACCAGGCCAGGGGCTCTCTTGGCTTTATTTGATGTTCTATCCCTGATGAGGGAGGTTTGGGAAGGACACAAACCCTCGGATCTAAAGCAGGGCAGGAGCAGGGAATGAGGGCCACGGGGGAGAGCTGAGCTGCTCCTCCACAGTGAGAATCCAGGCATGGGAACAGCACAGGAGATGGCCTGAGGCTGGGAAATCCTCCCTTCTCTGCTGTGCAGCAAGGTGGTCACCACCCAGCACGTCCTGGATGTGGCTGTCACCTCCCGCGCATCCACCAGCTCCTGGAAAACACTTTTAAGAGACGTCCCAAAACCACTGAGCCTCCTGCTGGCACCTAAACCCAGCTTTTGGTGGTGTTTTCCCGGTGGCCCAGCCTTCCCCTGGCACATCCACGGTGCTCCTGCACTCACAGAGCCACGAGACACCGGAGAATCCACACCCATCCACTTCCACCCGCAGGGAAGAGCAAACCCTTTGGCTCGGGGAAGCAGCGAGCGAGGACGCAGGAAGATGATCAGCCACGCAGTTTCCATTCACTTTGAAGTCAAATCTGGCTTTTAAAGATGGGAAAAAAGGCTCGATTTTGATTTTTTTTTCTTTTTTTTTTTTTTTGTTCCCCTTTCTCATTCCCGGCATCAACCGGGAGCGATTTGGCAGCCCCGTGATGGGAGGACACCGAGCTCCGGCAGAGCTTTGTAAAATATCTACAGGGCTGCATCTGAAGAGGCTGTGACTGTGTAGGCACAGCAACTACTGTCTCACAAGGAATTTTAATGCATAGATTATACGCTGCATTTCAGAGGGAAGGGGGGGGGCTCAGCTCCCTGGATCCGCAGCCGTGCCCGGCTCGGGGAGTCCTGAGTTCCTGGGAATCATCGAATCATGGAATGGTTTGGGGGCTGGAAGGGACTTGAAATCGTCTTGTTCCACCCCCTGCCACAGGCAGGGACACCTTCCACTAGACCAGGTTTTTCCAACCTGACCTTGGGCACTTCCAGGGATGGGACAGCCATAGGTTCTCTGGGAATTCCATCCCAGCTCCTCGCCGCCCTCACAGGGAAGGATTTCCTCCTAATACCTAATTTAAATCTCCCCTTTCCTAGTTTAAACCCACTCCCCATTGTGTCAGCGTGGTGATCCTTCACATCCAGTGCCAGCAGGAAGGATTGGGTCAGTTGTGGCTCCTCTGGACACCACCAAGGTGCCACCAAGCTGTCCTTGTGCCAGCCAAGCTTTTCCCATGCCCACCAAGCTGTCCCCGTGCCAGCCAAGCTCTTCCCATGCCCACCAAGCTCTCCCTGTGCCAGCCAGGCCACTTGGTTTAATTTTCATGCAGGATTAGCTCAGCTCAAACAGGGCAAGATGCTCCTTTCCTTGGACTGCTGTGGATTGAGGCAAAGCTGCCTCCAGCTCCTGAAGGAACGACTCCACCTAAATTCCAGCAGCTCTGAAATCCCCTGGGATTCACAGACAGCAGGTTTCTTGCCCATGCTGACGTCCTGCCCAGGTTTTTTCTCCCTGTGTGGACAGAAATACGATCCCAGGGTGACAGGGAGATAGGGGCTCGTGCCAGTGCCAAGTTATTCCTGCGGCTTCATCACTTCACATGTCGGCCCAGTGCCTTCCCAACCATCCCATGCATGTTATTTCCAAATGCTGCTGGTGCAAAGCCTGGCACAAAGGCGCCTGCAGAGCTCCTGCCATCCCCAGGCACATCCAAGCCCTCCAAGAACAACCCCCCGGGGATCAAAGATGTTTTCCAAAGCCTCTGGCTGAGGAGTGTGAACCCTCCTGGTGGCAGACGAGGGCCAAGGACCAACCTCGGTGCCACGGGAGGGGAGAAACCCCCAAACAGCACCAGCCCCCCTGGAAATGGAGCCTGAACAACTAATCCCAGGATTTTAGGGAGCTGGGGAAAGGCACAGGGAAGCCTCACAATCAAATCCTGGTTGTTTTACTCCCCACCACATGGAGCAAGGGCGACAATCCCTATCACTGTGAGATCCACAGGGGAAACTCCTGGAGCAGATGCGAGAATTTATCATGGAATCAAGGAATCATTAAGGTTGGAAAAGACCTTTAAGATCCAGTCCAACCACCAGCTCAGCACCACCACCATGTTCATCACCAAACCGTGTCCCCTAGTGCCATATCCACGTTTTTTGAACACTTCCAGGGATGGTGACTCCACCCCTGCCCTGGGCAGCCTGTTCCAACAACCCTTTCCATGAAAAAAAAAATTCCTAATATCTAACCTTGTCAATAATCCCAGCACTGTCCTCCTCCCTACGCTCATTCCATATGGAATGAGGGGGTCTGACGGCCACAAGCAGCCCCAAATCCCCTCTGCTACTCGACTTTTAATTTGTTTTACCACAAAACAAAGAAAAATCCAAGCCGACTCGAGTAAAATTTGGAGGGATAGGTGGTGAAGTGAAGGTAAAACAGCAGCACGGGGGTATTAGAGCCCCAGCCACGAAAGCAGCTTGTGGAATAAGCTGCTGTTGTTCCCTGTCACTTTTTAGGGAAGGCTGCTGAGAGGGGATTACAGCCCAGGCGGCTTAAGAGGAGCAGGTGAGGGGAGATACGCAGGGATAACGAAAAGAAAATACAAATTACTATCTCCCTGCTGCCACGGGAGGGAGAGGGGGAACCTGCCGGCGAACTCCTCTGGGGATGACAGGTTATCCTTGGGAAAACATCTAAATCACCCCGTCCTCTGAATTATAAATCACGCTGCCACCTCGTCTCCACGCCGGCCTCCCTTCGGCTGCCCGTAATTAAAGGATGGGGCTGGAGAGACGCTGCCACGGGAGATAAAAGTGCCCCCCAGGATTCCTGGCACCGCTGGATCCGTTTGTTTGTCAGCCCAGCTGACAAGCCTGGGGCTTGCAAATTGAAAACTTCTTCCCACCTCTCTGCTGGGATGGGGATGGTGGGGACGCTGGAGGAGCGGGAACATCCTGTCACCTCCCTGCCTGCAGCTCTTCTCCTCGCCCTCTCCATCCCAAATCCTCGCCCCACGGCTCCCTCCAGCCCCCATTTTTGGAGCCAGCAATGGGAAAGAGGTGCCAGGGCTTTGGCACAGGGAAAAAAATAACGGTGAAACCTTTATTTTTCCCCATTTTCAAGTGTCTCAAACGCTCCTGTTGGCAGCCTGGGAGCTGGACGAGGCTGGCACACAGGTGGCTCTTCCCTATGGCATTATTTTAGAGATGATGGCTTGGATAATAAAAGCTAAAGGAAAGGGGCTGGTGTTGGACGGGGGGGGAAAAAAAGGAACAACAGAGCTGGGGAGCATCAGACGCCAAAGAAAGTGATGGGAAGCTGGGAGAGGCACCGGGACGGCTCAGGGGATTCCTGCCATTCCTCAGCCAGTGCCCACACGTCCCGTCCACCCACCAGGAAGGGGGAAATTAAAACCAGCCCTTCCGAGGGGAGGGAGAAGGCACAGGCCGGAGGGGGTCGGGCCAGGGGAGCGGCACAGAGGGGGATTAGGCGGCGCAGGGGCCATGTGGCTGCTCTGGCCTCCAAATCCTCATTAGGGGCTCGTTAAGGACATGAAAGCGGCTTTTCCTGCTTCCGGTCCCGGCACCCCTGGAGCTGCTCGTGGCCCGTGATCGGCTTCGGGCAGGAAAGGCAGTTTATGGGGTTTATGGGATGGTGGGGTGATGGGATGAAGGGGGTGATCCCCTCGCCGGGGATGCCACGCGCTCCAATTGAATTTATACATCGATCTGCTGCTGGATCCCCCCTCTAGGATGTCTCACGGGGCTGACACACACCCCTGGGTGGTGGCACCCGGGTGGCAGCACCCTCTGGGTCACCCCTGCCAAAGCCAGGCTGACCAGGGCATTCCTGTGGCCAAAACCTCTCCAATTTTGGGAGCATGTACCCACCAAAGGGATGATACTGTGCCAGGGCAACCAGGACATTCCCATGGCTAAGCTCTCTCCGGTTCTGGAAACAGGAGAATGCTCCAAAGGGATGATACTGAGCTGGGGTGACCACGACATCCCTGTGGCCAAACCCCCTCCAATTTTGGGAGCAGGATCATGTGCCAATCGTTCTCAGGAGCAGGAGCACACTCCAAGGGGGTGATGTTGTGTCAGGGTGACCACCACATTCCCATGGCTAAAGCCTCCCTGGTTCTGGGAGCTGGACAGCACTCCAAGAGGGCTGTGCCATGCTGGAGTGACCACGACAACCCCATGGCCAAACCTCTCCATGCTCGGAGCCAAGGGAACAGGACCGTGCCAGGTGACCATGACACCCCCTTGCCTGGGGAGGTTCAGACAGAGGCTGTTAAATCGAGACCCTGCGGCCCCGAAAATCAGCTCTGAACGTGAAAGGCCCTAAATCCTGCAGATCCCCAAACCACCTGGCTGGTTTTAAGCCGCTTCCTCCCTTAAACACGGACGCACAACGCGGAGCACTAAGGTGACACCACCAATCCCTGCCCCTGCCCTGGCTGCTCACCCAAGCCAGAGTGAAGAACTGGGAGAGGGGAAGGAAGAAACAGCTGCTTTTTCTCCCTCTTTGCCCCCAGAATCCGCTGATCTGGTGTGAAACTACGCAGGCATGTCCCAAAGAGGAGCCGATCCCTCCCGCCCCTGCCCAGCTCCCTGCCCAACCCACCCGCTGAAATATGCAGTATTCTCACTGGGCCTTTGCTCCTTCCCCGAAAATAAATGAGTAATTCCCAGCCAAGGGGCTCGAAAAGCCAAATTATGAATAACCCTCCGTCCCCAGAAGGAGAAGGATTTAAACAATACGAGCCTCCACCTCCTCCCACCCCCCCCCTCTAAATCTACTACTGCTTTTTTCCAACATGGTTTAACAAATTCCCCAATATTCGCCTGAAAACTCCAGTCCCTGGACAACTGAATGGAGATTTTACAGCCCATGTGCCTCTGATTACAATATATTACCACTAATGATAATTGTCTGGATTAAACTTATCTGTTTCTTTGGCTAATAAACTATAAAAGACCACCAGTGAAGATGTAATAAAGTGCAGCTGTTGGAGCAAAAAAAAAAAAAAGCCTTTTTTTCTAGGTCAAAGCAAATTTGGGAGAGGCTGGGGAGAGCTGCCTGGGCGAGGGGAAGGAATACCTAACTGGAAATGAGAAGAGCTCCTCAAGGCAGCTTTCATTAATCTGGAACTTTTATCCCAGAAACGTCGCTGGGGTTTTATTTGCCAGCAGGACGAGGGGAGGTGCAAACTCTGCACTTCTCTCTCCTGCATCTCATTAGCCTCAAAATGGACCCTTGGGCTCCTCAGAAATGTTCCTGGCCGGGGATGCACCTACAGAGGGAGGAGGAGGGAAGGGAAGGATGGGGTTTTGTGGAGGTGCAGCTTCCCCAGCACGAAACATGAGCTGGTTGAGGGCACCCAGTGATGGTTTGCAGGTGCTGGAGGGCAGGAAGGGGAGTGGAAGAAGGAAATATCGTGTTCTAGGCCAGTGGAAATTTAGGAAGTTGGAGAGAATTGCCAAGCCTGGAGAGCAGCCAGGAGGTTGGAGAAAACACCC